CTGACATTAAAAATAAAGAACGTTTTTACAATCTCCTGTAAAGTAGAACGGCAGTGATTTGGAATAAGGGGGAATTGTGTAAATATGATTTTTCAGAGGAACTGCCTGATTCAATTATAGATATTTCATAATGATTTCTAGTAGTACACAAATAAGAATAATGTAAATGTTGTCACAGTCATGCTATCCTACATTTACCTTCTAGGGCTCTGGGTGAACATTTTGTTTTGAGAGACACTCTTTATAAGTAGTCAGAAATCAGAGCCATAAAAAGTACAGCAACTTTAGTGTAACAAAATTAAGTGTAACCATGGGAAGCAAATAAAAAAAAAGTTACTTCATTGTAAGTGGAGGCAAAGAACCAAAAATATATTTGAGTCAAAATGTATTGACATTCAGAGACACTCCAGCAGTAGTTTAGGTGTTATATCCACTCAAAACTGGACTCTCTGGTCCAAAAGCAGATACCTGGCAACCCTAGTTAGACATAAATAGAAGTACTCCTGTAGAAGTAGAAGCTCTTTTCTAGGTTTAATAAAATAAGGGGACATGTGCTCCCCACCTTCTTAAATCTACGCCTCTGCACTCAAGTATATAAAAGTAAAAAGTGACCATTTCAACAGATAAAATTAAGAATTAGGACATGTGCTTATTTATTTATTTATTTATTGATTGATTGATTGATTGTACTGTACTGTGCACAAGTCAGAGACCACCCTTCATTTTTAATATCCAATCATTATGGCCATTAAGCTTCTTTTTTTTTACTTTCCAGTTAATACGGCCATTAAGTTATTCATTTTTCAGTGTCAGAAAAAAAAAGCAGAAAACATTTAACAGGAAATTGCACAAAAACCTCAAACACTACATATAATATCAAAGTTTTCAGCATTTAATTTGTCCACACTTTACTTTTGTGATTCTACTGCCATTTTAACTCTTCTCTCCTTCCAATCTAAATATTAACCAGTTACAGCTGTGACCTCCAAACAAAAGCTCTTCCCAAAGCTCTCACTGACATCACTTTCCCTTTAAAAACATTCACACAAGCTACTACGCAGACATACCTAAGCTGCCTTCACATTTTTTCTTCTGTACATCTTAACTCAACACTGTGGGTCTGAAAGGATGTGTAGCTGTCAAGAAGCCCTTACTGAAAAAAAGGAAATAGACAAAAAGAAATTTTGCATAAGCAAATCTCCTAAAAAGAATCAAATCTTTAATAAAGCAGGGACCCAGTAAACACTGAAAAATTGATATTGTATTCAATTGTTGAGATTTCTGACCAAAATATATATTATGTTTTTTTCTGACACAAAAATATTAATGATATACATAATTGCCATTTTTAAAGGAATAAAAACATGAAATCTTGTCTCTGTATTGATATGTTTATTTACACCACTCAATAAACTCTCACATAAATGAATTAGATACAAGCACTTTGATTTTGCAATGATAGTACTCCTGGACTCGGAAATGTATGAGGTCTAAATGAAAATTAAAAAGCAACAAAAAGTATATTTTTTCTCTTAATAGTGTAATTGAGTTATAGTATTTAATTTGAATAAAGTACAGATCTTCCAAAATAATACCTAGGTTTACTAATGAAGAACCTTCAGAAGTATTGTCCACAGCTTCAAGCAGCAGAGAACAGTAACTTCCACCAAGACAAAAATGGTTAATAAACTCACTTCAACTTTGGCTTTGCAGAGACTTTAGCTCTGCTGTTATATTCTGGGGTCTCTCAGTGGCACTGCAAGCTCTGCCCAGCACGACTAGAGCCGAACCCAGTGATTCGGCATGCCTTCAGTTCCCTCAGAGAACTCTCTTTCTCTCACAAACGCTGCACTGAGCTGCCCTGAATAATGCGCAAACCGCATTCATGACTTGGGAACAAGTCATGAACCAAACGTTCTGCCAAAAGGGGGAAGTAAATAGAATTTTTGGATACACAGTTTTCCCAAGGCTGAGCAAAGCATTTGGTGTAAAAAACGTTGCACAGTAGCAACTAGACACCACTGTGTTTTTGAGATACACGCAGTATGTTTTCAGTTCTAATCCCTGCTGGCTCGAGCTGACAGGTTTTACACTGTGTCTCTGGACATCTGTCAGTGGTATGCTTTCGCAGTAAGCGCTGACATCCTCATAAATTTGTAATGGCTGGTTAGCGGAGTCCGTGGGCAGCTCCAGAGAGCTGTCTGAGGCAGGTGAATGGAATAAGCCGTGATCCACGCAGGCTCTCTGTTGGACAAGCAGCTGCAATCAGCTTCTGGGCTGCAGCCCCTGCTGTCCTGAGACCGGCGCTCTGCTGGGGGGAAACAAAGAGGGCGATTTTGCAGGTGTTGCTACAAATTGCCCTTTGCAGGCTGATTTGAGATCTGTTGTGCAGCCTTTTTTTCTTTTCTGTAAAGGCTTGAAGAAAGGTTTAGGCTGGTAAAACTTATTCATCTCCTCCGTATGTTCAGTCTTGCTCTTGTCTTTGAATATAATGCTAATGTGCTTACGTGTTGCTGACTCACTGTTCACTTAGTGCTGCCTCATATGTTGTCTTATTGTTGTTATCTCTTAGAAATTGAGAGTTACTATTGTCATCTTGTTATATAATCCAAATGTGATTACAAAATTATGTATTTAATTACATAGTAATCAGTATATTACATTATACAATGATTTACATTTACATTCTATTTGCCAGCAATTTAACTGATTTTATTCAACAAAATTACAATGCAAAGCAAACAAAATAGGTTAGATGAAACACTTCAAATCAACAGCTGCCATATTCCACTCTTTACAGTGTTTTTTTTTTGTTTTTCAGAAGGAAATGTTCCCTCTTGAATATAGATATTTAATGCTTAGAAGTCCAGAGTTATTGTTATTTTATACATTTGATTTACATGATTGGCACCACTTTACAACAAGACACATAAATAAAGGGCAAAAGTGAGCTGGAATATGAATATCCGGAGAAGACAAATTAAGAAAAATAACAAGAAGGAGCTGAAGTGTAAATGAATGGGTGTTTTACATTACATTTACCTCACGTCTTCTTCTGTAAGTTCATTGGCTGGTTGCAAAGCAGAAATCTGATTACTGCCTGACTCATGTAGACCCGGAGTTTTCCATTATCTGATTACTCAAGTGCATGTAAACGCATTGATTGGATTACTGACACAATCTGATTTTCTGCAGTTATCAGATTATTAAGTGCATGTAAATGCACTCATTGTAAAATGGTACCTCACAATTACATGACTATTATTACTAGGGATGTCAAAGGATTAAAATAATTAATCATGATTAATCACATTACTTTAATTTGTGTTGTTAATCACGCTTAATCTAAATGATTTGTCTTATTTGCTCAAATTTGACCAGTGAGTGGACCAGTGGCTGCAAGTTCTGACTGAATTGTAGCCCCTCACTGTCATACTACTACATTATGTCTTGTTTTTGAGCGGAACTGTAGTTTTCTACTTTGCTGTTGCCTTTGTTAGTTTGCTGTGCGTAGGCTTAGTTATAGTTCTCTCACAAGCTTTGTCCAACATAGTCTGCTGACCGCCAGTGCTAATCCTACTGATATTACTGATATTGCTGCCTTGAATCTTGAGTCTTGAATCTTGCTTGTAGATGTTACTGTGATTCACTCTGGCAGTAGCTGGAAACTTCGGTTTTATCAAGAGATCCGTCAACAGAACTCCATTTAAAAGCTCTATCTGAATGAAAGAGCTGCAGTAGCAGGTTCAAGCTACAGTGTGCAAGGAGCTGGGCTTTAGGCTCTTTAGGTTGGAACTACAACAAAGCTGATGTTGACTTCTTATTCAGATTTGCCGGTCTGCATTAAATGGTGCTGCAGTTACATTCTGGCAGCAAAACTTAGTTGCTGCACCATTTAAAGTGGAATGGGAGAATGTAACTGCTGTGCCATTTAAGGTAAAATGGCAAATTTTAAATAAAAAAAGAACAAGAAGCTGGCAAATAGAAAGCCAACTTCAGCTTTATGAAACTATGATTGATTCAAAGGGTCAAGATAGGAAAATGCATTGACAACATTAGAAAAATTAATAATATAGTGCATAAGGACATTAACAACACGTTAACTTTGACTCTATATGTTATTCCATAGGTAAAGGCATAATAAATATGTAATTACATAATTATTTATATATAATTACATAATTAAATCACATAGTTGTGCAATAAATTATGTCTACATACAATTTATATTCTGCACCAACAGGTTCAAATCAAACGGCTTTTTGATGTTTTTTTTCCCTGCAAAACAAGATGGTAAACGCAACAATGGTCCATTAAATTCAAATCATAAAAAAAATATATCCTTATGCATACTATGTGGTATCGATTGAAGGGTTACAATCTACTCTTGTTTTTTTTTTCTGCTTGTTTCAATGAGCTAAAAGTGAGGAATAGGTAGCATTGAAAGACATCAGGCTTTTTTGTTTGGCAGTAACTGCAACTCTAAGCTTTAAATGTATTGCTACAAGTGACAAATAGTATCCACTGTCTAGTCTTGAGGTGGTTCCTGTTTGAAGTGTTTTGTGCTCTATGGTTGTAAAGCACTCCTGATCACAGAAAATGTGCTATATAAATAAAGGTGATGAAGACGATAAAACTGACTGATCATTGCAATGGAGCAGCGTTTCTCCACAGCTGCTTCTGAAGGGTTGTTGGGATGGTATTGAGGAGGGAGTGTATGGCAGGTGAGAGAAGAGCAGCACAATACACACCCGCAGGGAGCGGCTGATTGCGCTCGCTGTTCAGACAGATGGTCTCTGTGCTGAGGCAATGGCTAGAGAAATGGAGAGTTTATGCTTTGAGATGAATAGGACTGTATGAGCTCAATGCAATCTCTCCTCGTCATTGTTTCTCGCCTCTCCAAGCAGTGCTTGATTTGAAATCTGTGACTTTTCTCTTATTTCTTCTTATTTCTCCTCTCTCCCTCTTCTTCTTATTTCCCCTCCACCTCTGTTTTCCAGCACTCAGATCCATTTCACCGTGGCCATTGATTTCACAGCTTCTAACGGTGAGAATTTCTTCCAGTGTTTTCATGATATTTTCTTATTTACCTCCTACCAGATTTGCTAATCGATTCAAAGCTTTGAAACTCAGATATGCAATGAGTAAAGCATTTTAGGCAGTGAGTTAAGGCTTTCTGTAGATGTCTAGGCAAATGGACACCAATTGTGCAAACCGAATTCTACTTATGTTTATTTACATACTGTAAATAGTTGCTTACAGACAGCACCTAAATATGGTGAGTTAAGCCTACCCTCTGAAAAACCATGGTTTTTCAAGTGAAATATTTAGTAAACCATTTAAGCATGCAAATGAGTGTTCAGGGTTTTATATAGAACCACTGTGTATACTAAAGAACCCTTGAAGAACCTTTTTTTTAAAAGCATAATGCACTTTATAGAGATGAATGATAACTCAGAGACGCTATTTAGACTATTTTGGCTACTAAACACTATGGGTTAGCTTCTCGGACAGGGATTGAGCCTAGTCCTGGACTGCACAGCTTTCTGAATGGAGATTTTCCATTGAAAGAAAATATACAATACTGTGAAAAAGTACAAAAACAGCCAGAGTTAACAAAAAATACAGTTTTAAAAAGATCATTTCATTTATTGAAGGAAAAAAGTTATCCAACACCAACTGGCCTTGTGTGAAAAACTTGTCCCCTTAGTTATTCAGTCACTAAAGCTGTGTTGAATCTAAACACCACTGAAATAGAACATTTCCAGCAATGTGAAGTAGGCTAGAAGGGCTCAACAAGCAGCACACTATGCCATGATCAAAAGAAACTCTGGAAGAGATGAAAAAAAGGTTATTGAAAAATAGCAGTCTGGAAAGGGTTACGAAGTTCTAAGGCTCTGGGACTCCAAACCACTGTGAGAGCCATTATGAGAGCCATTATCTCAATGGAGAAATCTTGGAACAGCAAAGACTCAGTCTATCAAACTTCCTCAAAAAACACAGTGACGACTCATCCAGTATTGACTCATCCACAAAAGTACCCAAACGACCACCGCTTGCTTTCCTCAGATAAAGCCAGTGTTCATGCTTTCACCATTAGAAAGAGACTGGGCAAAAATGTAATCTATGGGAGAGCAGCAAGGCAAAAACCACTGCTAACCAAGAGGAACATAAAAGCTCATCTCACACTCTGAGATCCCCAAGCCCTTTGGAATAATGTTCTGTGGACCAAAGAGTCGAAAGTGGAACTTTTTGGAGGACAGGGATCCCATTACATCTGGTGTAAAGATAACAAAGCACTCTATAATAAGAGCGTCACATCAACAGTTAAACTTGGTGGTAGTAGTACACAGCACTCGCAAGTGACAAACACAGTTAGAGTGTTTTGTACATGCTTCTAGGGACATAACACTCACAGCAAGTGGCAAAAAACAGTCCTGAAGCATAAAATTGTGTTTAGTTTACACATGACTGCCTGGGCAAATTGTGACAATTGAAATAACCACGAGTTCTGCTCTCTAACAGAAAATCCTGCAGGAGAATGTCTGAACAAAAGTCTGTGATCTGAAGCTCAAGCATAATTGGGTTATGCAACAAGATAACGATCCGAAGAATGAATGAAAATTCACTTCTGAATGGCTTAAAAGAAAAGAAGAAGAGTGGGTCAGAATTTCTCCACAGCAATATGAAATATTGATCTCCAGTTATAAGAAGCGTTTGGTTGCATCTGTTGCTGCTAAAGGTGACAGAACCAATTATTAAGTTTAGGGGCAATTACTTTTTCACAAAGCTATTGCAACACATTTTTTCCTTTAATGAATGAAATGAGCATTTAAAAACATTGTTTTGTTTCTCCTCCTCCTTGTTCTATATTTCATTTTGTTTAAAGATTTAAAACAATTTACTGTGACAAATATGCAAAAATAGATGAAATCATGAAGGGGCAAATACTTTTTCACAGCACTTTATATCAGGTCTTCAATTAACATTATGTGCCGTATTTAATATTGGTGGATTGTTTTAGTTTTTTTTTTTTTACACCTCCACTAGATCTTAGTCATTTTCATTGGCTTAAGCAATACACATGAAAGTTTTTGGACTTCGGATAAGAACTGCAGGTACACCACCCGAACATTTATGTAGAAAGAGTCAACTGCTACTTGGAAGCATGAATGCTGCTTTATAGTTTAGCATAGAACTTCTCAAAAAGCTTCATCTAGCAATGCTGACATTGAATTTTAATGGATTGTATGGTTTCTTTTGTTGCAAAACCAGAAATGATGTGCTCCCTAACTTAGAAAGCTTATTTTTTTATCATTTTAGGGGCAGTGCGTTTGCATGCATTCAATAAGCCGATCATAATCGGATTTCTGCAGATATCTGATTATTCAAATGGTCATGTGAACAGCATACTCTAATTTCTTAAATCAGAGTAAGGTCTAGAAATCTGATTAAGAAATCTGATAAAGAGAGCTGGATTTAAGCTCAGTAATCAGATTTCTCAGTGCATGTGTACTCTTACTCCTACTCTTTCGGATTTCTCAGTCTGCGCATGTGTGAAAACAGAGCATGCTACCAGAAAATAACAAGCAGCGTTGGAGCAGCTCTGAAACCAACTACATGCTTGACAAAATGACGGATATAAACATAAAGTAGATTATGCATGCTCATATTTTCAGACAAAGTGGCACAATGTTTAAAAAAAAAAAAGCTGATGCATGAAGTTTAAGTTTTACGTCCTCTTCTGTGAGTTTATTGGCTGGTTGCAAAGCAAAAAACTACCTGACTCATGTAGACCCAGAGTTTCCTATTATCTGATTACTCAAATGCATTAATTTTCTGCAGTTATCAGATTAAGTGCATGTAAATGCACTCAGTATAAAGAATAGTTTAGTCTATTGTTGCTAACAGTGAAGAAAAGTAAATAGCCAGCGATTAGCATGAGGCAAATGATGTCATGCCAATTGGTCTTTAATAACTGTTGTTCATCGCTAGCCCTGTTAGCATATTTGGTTAAACTACTCCTTTAAAATGAGAAAAAATGGTTTGGGCAGTTTTCCTTTTGAATCACCTCAAAAGTGTTTTTCCCTCTCCACTGAGCAAAACCATGTTTTTCATCATTCTTCTCTCTGCTTTTGAACTCTAAGGAAACCCATCTCAGTCCACATCTCTGCACTATATGAACCCGTATCAGATGAACGCGTACGCCATGGCGCTGAAGGCTGTTGGGGAGATCATTCAAGACTATGACAGTGATAAGATGTTCCCTGCGCTGGGATTCGGAGCCAAACTGCCCCCCGATGGCAGGGTGTCCCACGAGTTCCCTCTGGTAACTGCTGCACAGTCTCTAAACACTTCTGCCTCAGTTTTACAGCCAGCCATAGAAAGTTATTTGATCTTTTTTATGTGTGCAGTTTGCTGAAAATCACGAAATATTAGTATTGCTCAGAGCTGGGAGGAGCAAGATGGAAGGCTTTAGAGACATCGCTAGTATTGACTCATTTGCCATCTCTAGATTTCAGTGCATGAAGAGCTTCCTGCACATACAGTACCAGTCAAAATTTTGGACACACCAGAGTGAATATGTGAGAAATTCTCACAACGGCCTTAAAACAGGTCCATAAACATCTGAGTGTCATAAACCTCATAGAGAGAAACAATATTTGTATCATTTAGTAGATCAATTGGAGCTCTGTGTGAAACAGCAAAAGTTCTCACTCTCATTACCCCAGTTTGTTCACATATGTTTTTTTAACTGTTGTTTAGCATTTTTTTGCTTGTTAAGTAGAAAAAATGGTTGTATTACTGTTGAATCTCTTTAATGACCTAAATAATCTCAGCCACAAATCCACAAATTAATGTATTGAGGCCACGTGGCCATGAGAAACATAACTCATGGTATCTATATATTACTTTGTGGCCTCAATATATTAATTCATGGCCATGCCACTTTAAAGACTCTGTAGATGTGAACCAAAACAACAAAACATTTTGTGACACTATTAAAATAAAACTCAGTGGCTGTTACTGTGTTGCAGTAATGAGATACATTTGCAAAATACTAAATATGTTTTAATAATTAGCTTTAAAATACTTAGTCAGACAACAGTATAGAGATTATGTAAAAAAAAAAGTAAAAAAAACATTTTCAGATTCATCTTCAGATCTTACTGTGTTTCAGTAATGAGCATTTGGTCACTTGAACTGTTAGATGTTACTAAAAGCCAATTATTCAAAGAGGCAACATTGTAATACCAAAAAAAGAGAAAACATTAAGTTTTAATCATTTTATTTTTTTAATTTAGGTCTCAGTATTTTATCATGTTCTGAGTCACCCTGCTGTGAGTCACCCTGTAAAACCTGAAATAATCGTTTAAAAGTCAGAGGTGTTGGGTGGATTTTGAGGGAGTTTTTCGGACCACGTCATACGTCTTTACGTATTAACGTCACACGCACAGACTCAAAAAGAAGGTCCAGCACAATGTTTAGGTCTCAAATGCAAAATCAACATTATACTGATGAAGATATAATGACAATAATAGATAAATCACTCACATCATCAGAAGACACGTCCTTCACCGTGTTCTCTTTGAATACTCTTTCAATGCTCTTGCAATCATCAGATTATATAGATGTATATATATATAATGTAAAATTAATGTAAAAGTAAAGTAAAAGTAAATATATTCTAATGTAAATGTCATGTAGATACTGCCTTTACAAAATGTAACACAGACTGAATACAGATACACATTTCTGTATTGTTGATTTGTATTCCCAATACTTGTATTCTGTTACATCCCAACCCTGGATATGTTATGATATAATATAATGTTATAATAAGATATGTTGTATTTTTACACCCCTAGTAAGCAACTATTTAATGTTAATGAGCACTGCATGCATTTTTTCTTACTGATTGAACAGTGATAAAATTCACATTTCAAAAGAAGCCAAGATGTCTCCAAACTTTACATGGACAGTGTACATATGCCATATTTTGAGCTTCCATGTCAGAGTTTTATCTTTAATGTGTAAATATGACTCTCTGAAGCTCCATTAGCTTGCTCATTATGCTCCTTTCAGTATTCATGATATGTGTGAACTAAAACCTCAGCTCATCAGAACCTGAACACTCTCAATTAGTCCTCTCTGTCTCCCTCTCTCCCCTCTCTCCCCTCTCCCTCATTCCCCCATTTTCTCTCCTTCTCTTCCTCTGTTAATATTGTGGAGCATCAGCATAAATCTACTAATGAGGTCCGCAATGTGTCAGCTCATTTACATATTATACAACTGATGGAGGGCTTCAACTCTTTCAAAATTGCTTATTTTAGGAACCACGCTGTGTGCAAAGTCTTGACAGTATACCTCCACCTAACTTTTCCATATGTTCACATCTGCATTCACTAATAGTGTATATTGCTGAGATTTTGACTCATGCCTTATGGCAGGCATATGGTTTATTACTGACATATGACAAACGCTCTATTCAAGCTGAGTTAGTTTTACCAAGTGAGGTACTGTAATTGAAGTAATTACTGAATAAATGTGTGATTATAATCCAGTACAAAACTACAGTGTCCATGTCCTCATGTTAATGTAAAAACAAAACCTGCTAATATACATGGCCATGCAGTGTGTTGTTATTGTTATTGAGTGTTGCTCTTTAAATTGCACAGGTACTTTATCCTATACAAATTGGTCAATCAAATCCCTTACAAATTACATTATTGACCTTTTTCTTTACCTAACAGATATCCTAATGTTTGATCTCTTGCTTTTGGTTTAAGAATGGTAATATAGATAATCCATATTGCAACGGAATGGAAGGCATTCTAGAAGCGTACCACCAGAGCCTTAAGACGGTTCAGCTCTATGGACCAACCAACTTTGCCCCCGTCATCAATCATGTGGCGAGGTGAGTTAAGACGTTCAACGTTAGCATAAAAATGTTAGCATTAGTATATTACAGTAAATGGCTCATCTTCTTTCAATGTTTACTGCTACCTATGAGAAATCCTCTGGTTGGAAGAAGCCATATGAGAACATACAGTTATCATTAGTTCCATATGAGTACTGTACTGGTAAAAGGATAGATTTATACAATTGAAAATCAGATTTACACAACTAACCCCACGAATTGTCTATCAACCAAGTATTCGGTGTTGATTTCTTTAGTTTTGCTTGAGCTATGAGGCTAATGTAGCTAAGAAGTAATAGACCCTGCCAAACAGCATTGTGTAAACCTCAAACTAGAACTAATACTACTATTAGTAGACTTTAAGTAGACTTGCTTATTTCTGCTTAGTTTCTGACACTGTATGACAATATTTTCACTGTAATCTATCACTGTAAGTAGTAAGGACATATTTTGTGCTTTGAGGTAGCTGCTACGATCACTATACGTCCATTTTTTATACAGCAAACCTCGAAAATGTAATACCAAACATATCAAGGCTAATTGACTGCATCTTGGAAAAGATATTTATTTGCCAAATTATTGCTGAACATCTATGCAATAATGAATTAAATGCTGTCAAAACCTATTCAAACTAATTATACTGCATATATAATTTCTGCCGCATGCAAATATTCTCATTGACTGAATAAGTAAAACAATTACAAGGAATAACAGTGATTAATAGCTGCATTTGAACACAGAACACAAATGAAGGGGAAAATAAGGTGTCAGTGAAGGCTGACACACGTTCTGTGCTGTCAGCTAATGAAGAATAAATGCATTTTCCAGCAAACTCAAATGAACTGTGGTGACCCCTCTTCTCCAGCTTTTAATTAACCGTGTCATTGTCATGGGCCAGACCTTGACAAGGCACAGGAGATATGATCCCATGGGACCTGCTTGAGCACACTGTCCATTTTTGTGAAGGTCTTTATCTTACACTAATGATAGGGGCTGCCATTTCCCCTGAGTCTCCCTCTCTTCATTCCAGCTCAAGGCTCGAGGAGCAAATGACGACGTGCTCGTCAAATCTGGCTGCCTGATTTAACATTAGCCAAATGAACCCAGAGTCACTGCAACAGCTTGCACACGTCAGAGCGGTTCAATCTACAGTGTGATCTCGTGGCGTTTCATAACGCGCGTGAACTGATTTGCATCGCAAAGCGATTTTGAGGATTCTGATGGTGATAAAAGTGAGGAGTCGCAGATCAAGAGACAACCAAGAAAAAGACCCATGCAATTGAGCCTGGCTTTGAAAATGAATTATGTGGTGACAGGGTTTATTGGTTTGTTCCACGGTCCTTTTAAGTCTTTCTAAATGTTAAAGCGAAGGTTTGGTGAAAAATCGAATTCACACGGTTTACCCTAAATGTAGTTGACCAAACATGATCAGCGGTTGCTTCTTTAGTTTTGCACTGCAGCTATGAGACATAGCTTTGTGCAATCTCTAGACTTGCCTCAAACCACACTGAGTTGTTAAGTAATTTCAAATAGACTTGTTTATGTTATTTCTGACTCTGTGTGACATACTGTTATCTGTGAAATGAGAAAATGGGACTCCTAACACTAACATGCAAGATCTGGTACCATCAGATAAACAGTACTTAAAGCTTTCATCTTTGAAATGAAGGAGTAAATCAAGCTTCACTCTTGCTTTAGATCTCAAGAAATTCACAGGTGTTTCTGTCCATCCTTCCACTGTGAGAAGACAACTCAACACAATAACTGTGTCCCAATTCAGGGGCTGCATCCTTTGAAGGCTGCATAGACCCACGAAGGTTGAACTGAAATGAGACGATCTGCTCTACGGCGGATATGTTGGCTGGCAAAGGATCCACCCATTGGATCCTTCATTGCCATGTAAAAGAAGGACACATTTCTCAGCTGCATATGAAGGAGCCTTCGAAAGGGGACAGCCTAGTCGCGTCACTGTGGCGCAATCGGCCTTCAAATGTAGCCTCTGAAGGACACAGCCCCTGAATTGGGGCACAGCAAGCAAGTCTAATAGGGTGTATAGCTGTCAAAAACTGATACTGAGAAAAAGCAATAGACCAAAAAGAAGAACCAAACCAAATAAGCTGCTGGTGCTCTCAGAACAATGGGCTGACAATGGGCACCCCAGACTCCAGACCTCAACATCACTGAATGTATCTGAGATAGATACATGGATTGTGAAAAGCAGGAAAAATATCCCTGCAGATTTCTTTGAAAACTGAAAGCAAGCCTCCTGAAAAGAGTGGACACACTGAATCCTGAAGAATATGATATTTTCTGTGGCTTCTGCATAACCCTTCTGTTAAACATGTGTTTTCAGCCTTTTAATCCTAATTCTGAAAAATGAATAACTTGTGCTTAATTGCTGTTCTGGCTAAAAATTAAATAAATAAAGGTTGCTGCAGATCATGTACGTTTGTACATTTTTTATATAATAGTTTTCATGGTTTGTCACAGACCACATATGCAAGACAATTTGGGATTAAACTCAAAACTCAATATGGTTTGATGCAAACGTGATGATTTTTCCATGCAATTATGCTAACAGATGGCTGTAGCCTTTCATTATTTCTCAGCTATGTTAGTCTTGTAGCTCCAGTGTAATACTACAGAAGCGAACATCAGAAACTAAACATGATTTAACTGATTGATTACATAAAGAGGAAATTGTGTAAACTGCTTCTGCCTTGAACCGTTAAACTGCAGGCTTATTATTCTTACGTTGTTAATGAATTATTATGTTAAAGGATTTAAGAGGTTAAAGGACTGAGGGTACAAATAGCTATTTGAGCCTTTATGACTTTGTCCTATGTCTGCCTCTGTGCCAATGTGTATAGATATGCAGCAGCGGTGGAGGACGGATCTCAGTACTTCGTGCTCCTCATCATCACAGACGGAGTCATATCAGACATGGCTCAGACCAAAGAAGCCATCGTCAATGTGAGTGCCTTTCCAGCTGTGTGTGTGTGTGTGTGTGTGTGTGTTGTCTGTCTGTCACACACACACACACACTTGTTTCTGTCTCTGTCAGCGCCGGGCTCTCTGTTCCACTGCAGGTGTGTGTCAGTTTGTCCGAGTTTGTTGCATCATGTTGTAACAACATACCTTCAGGCCAAAGCTTCTCTGAGATGAATGAGGTCTCCATCAAAGGCAGAGTCTCCAGAAGCTCTTCTGCCACTCTTCTGGAACAAGAACATCATCAGCCTACAATCAGTTACCCAGCAGACTGGATTTAAAGGGAATTTGCGACTGTTAGTCAAATCATTAGAACAGCCACACCTTCCTTTTAAGATCTTGTCTGCTGCTCTGTCTCTTCACATCAGGAGGATCTTCCAGAACACTCCAGATCTTGTAAATGAGCTTTTCGTGCAGGTTAAATATTTATCTTTGTGGGAACATTTTCACTTTTAACCTTCAGATGTTGCAAGACAGACAATAACAGCATGTCATAGTTTCATTTTATTTCTCACCTGTAGCTCATTGAAAAAAAGTGGAGAAGTTCTAAAGTTCTGTCAAATGTGCAGATTCTAAACTTCTACTCAGTACCAGATTTGTTTGTAAATAGATGCGGAAATGATTGTTATTTAATTTGAAGTTATTATCATGAACATCTCATTTTGCATAAGGAAAACCCGTGTTTTTTTTATTTATGCCACATTTTGTCATTTTTTGAAACAAATGAAAAAGAACCTGTTTATGTAAATTGCAAATCAAAAGTAAGTGTAATTCATTACATAACTAACTATATAATTAAATAATGTAATTACCAGTGGTGAACCATGATTATTAGCACTATATGTAATGTAATGTAAATTATTATATATAACAAAATGACAATAATAAGTCTATTAAGAGTTAAATACTTTGTCATTGTCCTTGTCTCTGATATGCTAACTTTAAAAGACAAAGAAACAAAGGTTCTTAAAGGGAAATTCCACTGATTTTTTTTTTTTAAATCTGTATAATTAAATGGTTTAGATGTAAATAAAGTCATTCAGACTGGTTTGATGTGAAATGCTCAGTTCTAGAGAAACCCATTTTGTTAACAGTGATGACAGAAATCAGACACCCGAAGCATTTAAATGCCTCTAAAAGCTTCCTCACAGAAAGTTATTACATAAAATGGTTATGAACATGCTGCCTGAGGATGCCTTGTTTTAGGATAGGATAGTTTTGAAAGAGTGTTTTGGCATAAATCCATTTATGTCTATTAAATCCATTTATGGCAGAGAGGTACATGCAGGGTGTTGTAAGGCAGAACAGTCCCCAAAGATTCATATTGACCACTGTATTACCATTATCAACATCAATGTAAAGACATACAAGTTGATCTCTGCAGTGAATGATTTTGCATCAAACTACTGTGAATGTCTGTTTACGTATCCACGATTGAACTATGCAGAAATTTAGAAAAAATGGTGGGATTCCCTTTTAACATTTACTGTACGTTAATGTAATGAGATTGTATAAAGTATGAAATAATTTCTCACAAACTGTTCACACAGTGTAAAGGGTAGAAAAAGTGGAGTCATGAGGTTTTAATGTAGCAGCACTGATTTGTACTCAAGTGGGAACCTTTTGTTGATGAACAGGCTCATGCACTTTTAAAGTTCTGAGAATTTTTTTTTTTTTTTTGAAAATATATTTTATGAGTGCACCTACAGAACAGATATCACATCCTGAATGTGTCAGGCTGTGAGCAAAACTCCTCTTCCTTTTTCTCTTTTCATGTTGAATAGATTAAACTGAGCACTTTTACCATGTGAAGCTGTCTCTGTGTGCCTCTCGCCAGCTGCTGCTTAAATTATGCAGCAGGATTTCCTGACCTGACAGGCCGAGGTGACAGTCGGTGACTGCACTCTAATTCATTTTTGCCAGTACCAATACCCAAACACTCTTGTCTCTCTCCCTTGGCTCTGTCTTGCTCTACGTTTTTTTTTCCTCATCCGCTCCGCACGTTAGAGAGCCAGCACCATGGACTGATTAATCATTCTAGGTTTGCACTACATATATAAAGGTGGAGCCACTAGGACAGATTGTTTTGCGGGGCTGGGATAGTGAACAAAGAGATGGACTGAATTTGCTCGTTTCACATGTATACATCATTTCCATGTAAAAAAAAAATGTTATATATATTAAGAGTATAACAATTCACAGAATTCATAATTTAATACAATATGATATGGTGGTGCTTTGACTCAATATTTTTTCAGTACCAAAAAAACAGGAGTGCCTGAAAATGTGCTTATTGTTAAGATGATAATGTTACCATTTTCAGAGTGGTTTGATCTTAGACTTTAGAATAGCGCAGTGGAGTTTTGCCTGATTCATTCAGAACAGTTTCTTAGCAGCATAAAAACACTAGACAGCTATGCTTTACATTGCCCTTATCTAATGCCCTAGCCACCAGTTAGCATGCTTGTCACGATACAACAGGATAATACAATACAGTGCAATACACTACAGTACAATACAAAACAGTGCAATACACTACAGTACAATACAATATGATTAATTATGATACAGTATGATATGTTATGAAACAGTACAATACAATATACTGTGATATATTGCAATACAAGAGAATAGGATATGATACATTATATGTTCTGATATAGTACAATACAGTATATTACAACACAGTGCAAAATAATACAATACAGCATGACATGTTACAATATTGTACAATACAATACAGTGTGAGACAATACAGTACAGTGCATTACGATACAATACATGTTATGATAAAGTACTATACAATACAATGTGATACAGTGTGATACAGTACAATACAATACAGTATGACACAATTAAATACAGCATGATGTATATGGTACTGTGCAAAAGACCCCCCTTCCTGTATTTATTATTAATTTATTAATTTCCAGCCAAAATGACCATTAATTTTAAACCTATTCTTTTTCAGCATCAGGAAAACATATACTTAACATAAAATTACATGGAAACCTCAAGAACTATATGCAGTACAAATTTTTCAGTGCTTAATGGGTCCACCCTTCTGTTCCTCTGTTTTTGTCCCGTTCATTTTTCTTTTTTTACCATAATTTGAAAATATATATTATATACAGAGATTTGTTTCCCCACCTCCAAAGTTCAGTCTTAGAAGTTGGTTGCATTTTCTGCTTCTCACAGTTCAAGTATTCCCATGTTCAGTTGTGTTGAGGTCTGGACGCTGAGGTGGTCAGTCCATTATTCTGAGAACACCAGCAGCTTCTTTAATTTGTATATCTCCTTTTTGTCTATTTCCTTTTCTCAGTAACAGTTTCTAGACAGCTACACATCCTTTCAGACCCATAGTGCTGAGTTGTGTTCTCACAGAGGAAGGACAGACGGAATCAAGAGTGAAACTTGATATTTTTCCTAATCTGATCAGAAATATCTCCTTAAAAATGAATAACTTGTACTTACTTGCAATGTTAATGAGAAAATTAAATAAATGAAGGTAGTCTCTGAATTTTGCATAGTGTTCTAAGTATGCAGAATATGTCAGCTGTGAGAGTTCTGTGATGAATGGACCAGTAGAAATGGTAGCTGATGTAATATGCTTAGTTCATGTTCATTCAAGTCAGTGCATTTCCTTTTCCAGTGTAATACTTTAATCATTTATATTGATGATAGAATGAAGCAGATGTTGATCTATTAATAACATCTTATAGAGACTAAGCAGTGTTGTTGTCACTTATACCTTACATACATGTCAAAATTGTAGATTAGAATGAATATTTATTTTGATAAAAAGATTGTGATATAAAAGAGTTTGATTGACTTTTGATTGACTGTCTCTTTACTGTGTAAAATCCACTCTGTGTTGACTGTAAATGTATGTAAATGTATTTGTGTCTTGGACCCTTAAAAAAGAGATGGTGGAATGAAAGTAGTTGAAGATTTGTGATAGTGAGCCAGTAAAAGGTTCTGATTTGCATGTGTGTGTGTGCATGTGTGTGTTTAGATTCATTTTCCCAATTCTGTTTTCTTCTCTCTGTGACCGGCTCTGTCTCTTGAGAGCTTTCCCGAGAACGCTGACCTAATTCCACCCTCATAAATGCAAAAAGTTCTCAGACTGTATCTGTATAATTCATGTCTTAAATTTGGGAAAATGTCTCTGTAACATTCTTGATACATGACCTTTTATATACAGTACAATGCGAAAGTCAGAGACCACCTTTCATTTATTTAATTTATATATATATATATCCATTATATAAATCTATATATATTTATAAGGTTTTAGTATTTAATGTGTCCACTCTGCCTTTATTACAGATTCATTCTTTTCAGGAGTCTTGCTTTCAGTTTTTCAAAGAAATCTGCAGGGATTTTTTTCCACACCTCCAAAGTTTAGTCTCAGAAGTTGGTTGCATTTTCTACTTCTCACAATCCAAGTAACCCCAGACACATTCAGTGTTGTTGGGGTCTGGACTCTGGCGTGGTCAGTCCATTATTCTGAGAACTCCAGCACATTCTTTGCTTGATTTGCACGTTTTTGTCTATTTCTCTTCTCAGTAAGGGCTTTTTGGCAGCTACACATCCACAGACTCATAGTGTTGAGTTGTCTTCTCACAGTGGAAGGATGGACAGAAACAGCTGTGGATTTTTTCAGGTCTGAAGAGTGGAGCTTAATTTTCTCCTCTCTCTCAAAAAATGAAAGCTTCAAGTACTGTTTATCTGATGGTGACAGGTTTGGTGGTCTACCAGATCTTGGTTGTTATGGGTCCCATTTTCTCTATATCTTTCATTTTCTATCATTTTTTGAAACCCAGTTTTAGAAGCTTTTTTCACTTCTTTTCAGTTGATTTTCCCCTTCCTTATGCAGGAAGATATCTCCTGAAAAAATGAATAACTTGTACATAATAGCCATCTTGACTGGCAAGGAAATAAATGAGGGGTGGTCTCTGACTTTTGCACAGTACCATACTAACAATGCAGATTGTTTTCTGAGTCATCACCATTAGTATTGCGCTTATATAACATAACTCTTTGAATCATTTGGTCCATTGCCTGAAGCAAAGCTCAAAGTGATTAGATATGGACTTTGAACAGCCTTAATAAATGTTTTAAATTGTTGGAAAGGCTTGATTGTGTCCCCAGACAGCTGTGCTTATGGTTGAGGTTGTCATTATGGGTGAAGGGGAGAGGGGGTGACTGGTGCTGTGTGTGCGTGTATGAGTGTGGGTGGGTGGAATGGGATTGGAGCGAACCTCCCATACATTTATATTCCTGTGTAATCGGGATGTGAGTACAGTTCCTGGAGCCATTCCAATTTAAACTCATTTCATCACAGCCCACAAACTCATCTATAGCCTGTGTTCACGCCACAGCCCCCATTACCCAGCCTTCTCTACTGGAATGAGCGTGTACCTGAAGAGAAGTAGAAATCTAGTCTTACTCATGCATTAAATGAATACTTCACCAAAATCTAATTCACACAATTTTCTCCCTTATCTAATTTTGCACTGCAGCTATGAGGCTAACGTAGCTAACAAGTAATGGGAGCTTATTCGCTTCTTGCACTACATTGGTAAATTGTCACACACTTGCTTTAAACATGTATGTATGTATGTATGTGTGTGTTTGTGTGTGTGTGTGTGTGTGTGTGTGTGTGTGTGTGTGTGTGTCCAAAAGTTTGTGGACACCCCACCCCTTCTTATTAGTGAATTCAGCTGTATTAAGGTCCACCCCCTCACTGTTTAAATGCACACACAGCTTGTATAGTCTCCATAGAAATGCACTGATAATAGAATGGGATGCTCTGCAGGAGCCGCACATGAGCCTAAGGTTACCATATCCAAAGCCAGGCGTAGGCTAGAGGAGTATTAAGCCCCTCCAGCACTGAGCTGTAAAGCAGTGAAACTGCATTCTCTAGAGTGATGGAGCTCCAACCAGTACCTTTGGGACGAGTTGGAGTGGCCTTTGTGATCCAGAACTTGATTTTGGATGAGTGGGTGTCCACAAACTTTTGGCTATGAGAGAGAGAGAGAGAGAATTCATTTTATGACAGAGGTTACACAAACACAAATAATGAGAATCAAATAAACTTAATTTTTCAAAACCATTATTTTCTCTAACATTTTGCCAGCCTTTTCTCTATGTACTGTAAAAATGCACCAAAACTCAGAAGCAACATAGATCACGGAAGCAAAGAAGGGAATCCAGAAACAAATAACATATTGTAAAATCCACAAATAGAAAAAATGAAAACAAAAATGGGAATATGCTACTGAAAATGAATATTGACTCAATTAAAAACGAATGAATCTTTATGAAAAATTAACTTGATTCTCACTGTTTGCATTTGCAATTTTTTAAAAACATTTTTGATTTTCTTGTGCATTTTTATAGTTTCATTTAAAATCTATTTCATTTTTTTACCTCATAAATTTTGAAGACAGAACTTTTTCCATGTTTTATAGTTTATAGTATCATGTTAGAAACCATATAAGCGAGTCTGTCCATCTTGTTAGTTACATTAGCCTCATAGTTCCAGTACAGAACTAAAGAAGCCATGAAAAGAAAAAAAAACCAAACACATCCTGGCTGGTCAACTACATCTGGGGTGAGGGGAAAACTGCAATTACATTTTTTTGCCGAACTATGCCTAAAATGAATGAAATGCCTTAACCAGCTTCCATTCTCTCACTTGTGCTAAACGCTTTATGTATTATTTTTTTATTTTTTGTCTCATCAAACTAGGACGATGTTTTATTCATTATGTTCATTTGTCCTGTAAAGATGTCCCTGTGGGAAAACACTCATATTTATTCTTCAGCCTCCTAATCTCTCTCGCTCTGCAGTGTTCTCTTGTTTTCTCTGAACTATTGGAAAGTTTATCACTTAGCCAGCTGAGGACCAACACAAACTTCTGCTTCTTTTTAATGGGGTGTCTGTCTTGGCTGTTAGGCATCACATCGACCACTGATACAGCATATAGACACAGGCTGAATAATACATGACTCGACAAGTCAGGGTAGTGACACGGCGAGAAGCAGCATTATATTTTCAGCTGAGGACAGAGATGCAGTTATTGGGCACAAAGTGTTGTTCCCCAAGTGCCAAAGCAATGTTTTAGTTTGAATGTCGAGTAAATTGATTATAGTAGATACATGTTTTGTTTCCAACTGTATTCATAATACTGAAACATATTTGTAAAGGATGTTCATTGTTATATTCAGCTAACATAATGTTTACTGTAGTCAGAAGTACAGCTAGTCAGGAATCTTAGAGTTGTGCCGGCTTTTCTTCTTTGACATTTACAGCATTTGGCAAATACTTAATTTTGCACAAAAAATAAGTTATAGTGGATGTGTTAACTTGTTTTCATATACAAAATCAACATAACATGTAATTTGTCCAGAGGCACCCAAGCTTTTGCATATGACTGCATAAACTAGCTATAAAAATTATAGAGATGGCACTTGTTTGAATGTGTTTTGAACTCTTTCAAACAACTTTTTAGAAGAATAGACGTCCAATTTTTGCTAAAAGGCAGATGCTTTACTGTATATTGCGCACAATATGACAGGTTCTGTTCTGCCTTTGCAAAGTATCTCCTGTATGTTCAAAAGAGATAAATGTAATCTATTATGATCTTATCTAATAATATGATGCTATCACCCAAAATCCATATAGTTGACTAAATTAAGTCAGGGTGATTAGTTAGTAAGGTATGAGATATTCATCAAACTTCTTCATTTTACGAAAGAAGTGTTCGTGTGAGAGCAAGAAAACCTATCATTGCTAAGACTTTTTGAGGCCTTTTGTTCAAATAACCTGATAAAAATAGCTATCCAAACTTTTTGTCAAATTGTTTTCTATGGTTTCTGTTTCTAAATCCTGTTTAACTGAATGAGTTTAGAGTTTAGTTGCTACATAACTTAGAGTGCCCTATTTAAAATGCTACACACTGAGCTGGACGGTGTTGTAAGAATGTACTTAGTATGTTAGTAGAAGTGACAAAGCGAAACGAAATAGGTTAGAAAAGAACATATTTACTAACATGCTAACATTCAGTTATTCCACAACAACTGAACTGTATGCTACGATTTCTCATCAAGTTGAACAGCATTTTGCCAACATTCTGTAAAACATTTTCAACCTAGCCACAGTCACTATGAGCCTAATTGTGGGCAGAGCATGGACATTGTTTCCAAACTGTAAAGTACTATAATGTACTATAATACTGTAACTTATATTAAGCCCTCAGTTCTTGCACATTAAAGTATGTAAATGTGGATGGTTCTGAAATGGTGTATTGTCCTGTATCTTACTTATGTCCTGCAGGCTGCAAAACTACCCATGTCAATCATCATTGTTGGAGTTGGACAAGCTGAATTTGATGGTAAGTTTTAAAAAATGCTGTATTTACTTTCTTCAAAGCTCTCTCTCTACAGAGACACTCATTCAAGCTAAACTGAGTAAATCCACATAGAATTACAATCTTCTCTCTTAATCCTTAAAACAGTGCACAATTTGAGCCAAATAAAGAGGAATTTTTGGGTTAGAGATGACTAATTGGGGAGGATTGGGGTCTTTGGCTAATAAGCAGATGTCAACCTGCTGGAGTTTGGGCTTGGTTCACAGCTGTTGAACGTAATGAGCACATAGCACCATCTGCCTACAGCGCTCACATTGGAACTTTCATTACATTCCAGCAGAGAAGATAATGTGCATGTCATGAATGCAGTTGGTGGACTGAGTCTTATTGGCCAAAGGGCTCAGAACATGTTACCTTTTCTTTGCAGCCATGGTGGAGTTGGATGGTGATGACATCAGAATATCCTCAAGAGGAAAGCTGGCAGAAAGAGACATTGTCCAGGTAGATTGCTGATATAGTTTCTGATTAACATTATTGGCTGCATGAGGCATGTATCAGTAGAATATAACAGATGTCTGTAGGTAACAGTTTTAAAAATAAGCCAAAATGGTCAGTTCTTTAAATTATTCATTCCCTTCAAAAGTCTTCTTAAATGCCCTCAATGATATTTCTCTATCTAGTATAGATTATCTATAGTTACACCAGCTACATGAAGAAAGACTATTTTGGCATAATGCCATTCAGGAACTGATACACATGGCAGCACTGGGACTGTACATGTGGGTTCAGTGTAAGGGTACACTCTTAAAAAGATGCTTCTTCAAGGGTTCTTTAGTAAAGAGAGTGGTTCTGTATAGAACTATGAAGAAGCACTGGCATACTTAAATGGTTCTTTGAATGGTGAATGGTAACAGCAAACAAAGTATCAGATTGTTTACTGTCACAGATGTGTTCAAGATACTTGAACACAATTTCCATAACAACATACAGTAGAAATGCCCATCAGCGGCGAGCACAGCAGAATGCGACAAGAAAAAGTGCAGCCGGACATGAAGTGTAAAAAGCGAGGCATTGAATTTTATTCAAATGTGTGCATCTACATGAAATCTGTATGAATTAAAAATGACGTTATGATTATGGCAAAAATTATCACCAAAGATATAGAATTACATGTTTTATTTACATTAATTTTTGTCAAGAGATGTGATAAGCCTACATATTAATTTTATTATTATTATTTCATTCTCAATGTTATGCAAATTCCTAAGTAATGTTCAGACCCATCTAAAACTTCTAAATTTATATTTACAACTTGGTGTGATGTTGCACAGGACTAAAATGTTAGAATCACATTATACACCTGTCTGCAGCCAAATTGGTTTATATTGTTGAAAACATTGATTGCAAACTTCCAAATTTATACAGTCATATGCAGAAGTTTGAACACACCAGGTCAAAATATATGTTTTGTTGATTTTCGAAGTGAAAATATGTTAACAACTTAACTATTCCATTTTCTGCTACTTTTGTTTAATATATTGGAAAAATGGATATTTGTTAAACAAATAAAACATAAAACATAAAATGGACCAACAAGTTCAATTAAGCAAAAAAACAATGATTATGCATTAAAATGTGCAGAAGTGTGTTCTCTGTAGAGACTGTGTTAACTCATATTCACTTAGAAAATCAGAAAGTCATTTGACCAGTGGTGCACAGACTTTTGCATATGACTGTGTAATATAATATGGTCTGCATATGGTGTAATATAACAGTATAATCATTGCATGGAAAAAAGAAATCTGAAATGAATGGGTTAAAAATAGATCATTTAAGCATCTTTTAATAAAGCATTCAGGGTGAAGATGGATGTGCATGGATTTTTTCCAAGTGTATCTCGGGGTGCCCTACATTTTGTGGCACACTGTCACATCATGCATAACATACTGAAGACTTTGGTTTGTGTAAAAAGAGTGCAAAAATAGTCACCTTCAGCAGCCAGAAATATTGCCAGTGCTTGCTCCTTGTGTTTATCTTTACCCTTTTGCATGCTTGTCTGTAAATAACTCTGTATTATGGTGTTGGTTTAATGAATCTGACTGTGTTAGGGGTGGGCAATATGATAAGATGTTGTTATCATTATGATAAATTATGCCACTGTATGTAATTTATCATCATTTCTGAGTATATCTTGAATATCATTGGTGTTTCTAGAACACTGAATACTTGTATGGATCAAAAGACAGATTTAGAACAGTTAAAGGCTTGGGATGTGCACGGGTTCTCGAGTGCGCGGTTGAACATTTGTGAATACTAAAACTCTGTACTGAAGTTCTTTACGTTCTTTCTATTTCATCATGAGAAGATAGGGAAACTATACATGCTAACAATTCACTGAAACCCTGATTTTATGCTTTGACTGTAAAATGTGATTGTATGTACAAGTAAGAATATTTGATTTTGGTACTATGAAACACAAGTTTCTTAACATGAGGGTGTTTCTCATAGATGTGCTGTTAATGACGTGACTGAGAAGGCAGAGATGGCCTGGCTGGCTCTGATGCAGCTTTAGCTAGGCTAACTACTTAAGAAACTGTAGTGAGGTCCAGAAACAACAGCTATGTTTCCATCCAAGGAATTTTTTGCTAAAAATGTTTTACTGCTTCAAAAAAGTGTGTTGATGTAAGTTATAGTTGTTGGTAAAATTTTATAAAAGTTGACAAAACTTGTTTCCATTCAACTTTGGTGAAAAAATAGTTTATCGATAACCGAATTGCAAAACCTACACTGGAAACAAAATGTAGTTATGTTATAACTGAAGTTTGAGGGGAGGAGCATGGCTGAAACCCCTCCTTCTTTCAATCTAATGCCCTATAAATTCACATCCTCGCCTTCCGTTCCCGTGATGACATGTTCGCAATCCCCACCGCCATCTCTTCTCCCCATTCCTCAGTCCTGCATCAGTCCTACTACAGCTATGAGGGGGGATCTGGCCTTCTAGCTACAGGCAGAAGCTGCGTAGAACTCCAGCCCAAGTTCTCAGAGTTCTCCCCCCTCCCTCAATCAGTTCTTCCTCATACTACCACCACATGTTGAAGGCATGATCTGAACTCACAAATAACACATTTACACATACAGCTAGTGTCATGACAGATTTACCTCATGTGCCTCTAATAACATACCTAGAGAGCATGGCGAAGAGGTAGAGCTGGACTGAAGAGGAGACGAGAGCACTTTTAAAAGAATGCTGCCACTTTTCAGCTCTTACAGAGAGAGATGTCTAAGTAAACAAGTACACCTTTTCTAAAGGGCAGCGCTCAAACAGCTCTATTTGGCAGAGAAACATGATCTCTCTCATAAGTAAAAAATAAAATAACAAACAAAACGTCTTTAGCAGTAGGTTATGGGGAAGTCAGGGAAGCCAAAATACGCAAGTTGCAACATACATGAAATTAGAGATGGAAACGTGTCCACTAAAACAGTTTTTTGCAGGACATGATGTGATTACACAAAGCATTTTATTGCTAAAGGTCACTTTGATATAAAAGAAGGTGCCGGGGAGCAAAAACTGAATATTTTTTGTAAATATTTTCATTTTATTGCTTGCAACATGCACAGAAAGTCGATGGAAACATAAATAATGGAAAGCAGTTTCTCTGATAAACTAATATGCTGGCACATTGTCCACTGAGGAGAAATAACTTGGCATAGATGACCAGTACTTATCAGCATCAAATGTTGTATATGTGAATGTAAATGTATTGGTTTGCACTAGGGTTAGCTCATTCTAACTCATTAACTGCTTTAAAGAGGAAGCCTGAATTACTCATCCAACATGAAAACCTAAGTTTCCCTGTTTTTCCATGTTTTCAAATGTAGTCATGAGATCACACTTTTTATCACACTTTTTTTGCCTCCTAACAGCGCTTAACAGAATATCCGTTCAACTGGATATTTGAATATCAGAATTAGTCAGAATGCACATCCCTACAGACTCATAAACAACAACAATGACCAAATTATAGTAACTGAATAAACTATATAGTTGGCTAATGAGTTGCTAATTCAATGACAATTAGTCCATTATCTTTTTTTTCTTGTTAAATAGCTTATTTTTGTAAACTTTGAAAAAATCACCATAGTTTTCGTAGCCTTTTTAAAAATGTGGCACTGTTTTACTCGTACATTTCATCTTGTTTCCAAAAACTAAATATCATCAAACATATCATGTATCATGAAAGTGTCTTCAAGTATCACAATGGTATATTTGTGGTCATATTGCCCACCCCTAATCTTTGTTATTTAGTACAAATAAACTGCCATGCAAACTCTTCATGTGTCAATAGTTCGTGCCGTTCAGGGACTACATGGACCGGACGGGGAACCACGTTCTCAGCATGGCTCGGCTGGCCAAGGATGTCCTGGCAGAGATCCCTGACCAGTTAATCTCCTACATGAAATCCCGAGGCATCAAACCCAACCAGACTCCACCAGACTGCAGCCCGGAAGCTGGCCTTAGCCCAACCTCCACCATATGAGTTTACACAGGCCCGGTCCAGAGTGGATGAGACAGGCTGTGACCACAGCTATTCTCTGTCCATGTCGGGATCTCATTCACAGTCAAATTCAGCAGACTCCATACGAGTTTACTTGCTCTAGAGCACAGGAGACAGGCAGTGGCTCTAGCTCTCCCTTTGGGGTGTCTTTTACAACCACTACTGCAGACGCTTACCTCGTCTGATCCAGTGGCGTGGACAGGCAATGAATTAAAACGTCCATTTTGGACATCATACACAGTCAGTGTAATGTTTGTCTGCTTTGGACAAGACATGGATGTTCTTATAGGCATGATTTTAACTCTCAGTTTTGTGCCACAGACTTTGAGGCTTATTAGAGACGTATTTGTATAAGTCTGTGCGCCCTGAATAAGAGAAGATCTCCAGAGGCAACAGCCTCTTTCCTTCTTTTTTTCCTTCTTTTTCCTTTTTTGATCTTATGTTACAGTAGCATCAGGGTGGGTTTAGAAAACAGTAATGATCCAGCTAGTCTCAGGCAGCTACATGCCTAGCAGAGCAGGGATTTGGTAATAAATGCTGAGGAGAACAACATGCGGGGAACTGCTAGTTAGAGCAGTAATGATGTCAGGTGATTGTTTCAATTGTATATGTACACTCTCAAAAATAAAGCTTCCATGGAGTGTTCTGGGGCGCGATATTACAGAAGAACATTTCAACAGATGGTACTTTAAAGAACCAGTTTTATAAATGAGATATGTAAGGGTGAAGAACCTTTTTTTAAAACTCTTAAATTACTTAAATAACTTAAATTGCCAGGCTTATTACATCTTAAGGCTTATTTTTCAGTATCTACATGAAAACAGTGCAAACATTAGGGATTAAAGAACCTTCCCATAATGTAAAGGCCTAGAATTGTATGTCCAAGCCAAGAACCATTAAGGAACCATTACGGAGCCTTTATTTTTAAGAGTGTACTCTACTTAGGTATTTGGTGCAGTAGAATGTTCAGTTTGTGTTCAGTTTGTAGATAAAGTTAGGAAATGGCGTTTGTATAAGAACTTTGGGAAAAGTGGTGGGACTATATGGTAAATTATGAGTAATATTTTTCATAGTGGTATTCCATTTTTAGTTTTTTAGCTCTGTGACATGATAAGCTTTTCTATTATAAAGCATGACAGATTATTTAATTGTACAGTGTACCTACTGTATTGTATATGCAGAGTGTAGACATTTGATTAAGTCCAGTGAAAAAATGATACAAATACTGATTCCCAGAAGAAACAATGATGTCTTTAGCTATAAAATGATCATTTAACAAAACCTATGGACCCAAGCACAAGAGAAGCACAAGTATTTTCTTAACGCTCTAATCTTAAACCAGCACAAACTGATAAAACAGGCATATATAACATCATCAACTATACTGAAGAATTTGTGTTGAATATAGTTGAATTAAATGTGTACATTGGTTCTACAGTTATGAAATATATTACTTTTTTTGGACATTTTTTTTCACCAATAACCAAAAACACTTTCACACACACATATATATATATGTGTGTGTGAAGGATGAATTCTGTAGTTTTGCCTTTGTGTTGAGAATTTTCAACTGACATTGCCTGATGACTTAAGCAATCTGTTTCCATCTAGATCTGTCATGCTTTAGCTAGACAGTGAATGCAGTTGAGCAAACGTTAACAGGGTTCACGTAACTTAAGCAAACACTAAGTCAGTACTGATTAACCCCATCAAACAGAGGTATGTGGCTATTACTCACTTTTGATGGTATATTTGCTTGCAAAGACATCAGCTCCTGTGCTGTATAGGCTAATGCAGTATTTACAGGGTAATTATAGCAGTAACACATAAGCGGGAGTCGAAGATAACTTATCGATTTGATATCTGATCAAACTGACTTTCTATTGATGTCTTGATTTGGAAGTCATAGCAGACATTGCCTGTTCATACACATTATGCTGACGGAATGTCAACAACATGGCGGTGGGACGCTTCCTCCAGGTTTAGCAAAAACGGTCTATTATACTTTGCTACTTTGAAACACGATTGCCTGAGCATGCATTGCTAAGGATGTGACTGAGAAGGCAGAGAATGAGTTTGTCTCTGGTGCAGCTTTTTCGCCAAGCTAACTACTCTGGCTGGTGTTAACTAGGTTCAGAAACAGGGATAATATATTTTTCTGACAAACAAACATGTTGAAACATCATCCACTGGAGAGGAAAGACCTCTTGTAGAAGACGATGAGTCCTCATCAGCATCTAGCGTTCTAGCGGTTGGAACCAATGTACACATTTGAATCCTGACAATTCAAAGCACTAGTTTTCAGTGCACACTATACGCCGAGCAAGTGCTTCAGCCAACGTATCTGTTCTTATAAAGTTTTTGGTATCTTTGCTCTTTTTCTTCCCATCTTCTTCAGAGCAGGTGTAATTTGAAACTCTGGCAGATGTACAGAGACCCGTGAAGAAGTGAGCGAGCGGAACAGTAGGGCTCAGTGATATGGAACATCAGCATATTTCACAGTTAGTGACAGATCAAAGGAGAAAAGTGTTGAGAGAGAGAGTGTGTAGTGTTTTAAGCAGTGGGCACTTACTGGAAGACTCAGCACAACTGCTGATGAACAGCACAGCTCAGTCGCTTCTGTGCATGTCCAGTTATGCAGTAATTTTGCCCCAGATTCCTAACGTTTTAAAATTTGACTGCCTGCTTTTCTGTTATGTAAGATCTGCCGTGATTATCAGCGATTATGTGAAGCTGACTGAGTGGGAAGCTGGACAGGGGCTTGTTTATCAAAAAATACTGTGGGACGATGATGATTACAGAAAGTACAGATGAGGACAGTCTCTCCTATTTTGCAAACCCAGACCAAAATGTATACAATTATGAGTGAATAACTATTAGTGAATTATTCTAATTTTCTTACCTGCATCATATTTTCCAATTATATATGATAATGGCCTCATATAGTTTAATATGACCTTTGACTACATGGACTGTAATTGCTCCATTAGTTCAATCGAAGGTCTGTTCGTTAGAGTGACCTGTGGATTAGACATACTGGCCCTATGGCTGAAATATTATCCCATATAAAGCTTTTTTATGAATGATTTCTGGTATCACTTGGTTGGCAATAATTGATGTCATGAATGTTTAATAAGGATATGCATGTTTAAAATGACCTCAGCAAGTGTATTTGCCCAAGGTAGCAGGTTTATTAAGTAGGCTAGGTTTTCCATCATCAGTTTGAAGCACAATTAACAGTTCAGTCAGAATGATTTTGTATGTACTTGAATTGCTTGGCCAGTAGTCACATATTATTTTGGAAAAACCTTTACCAGAGAAATGTATGAGCTGAATGTCCTATTTTCAGTCCATTTCCTTCATGCCAGTTTCTTGTGTTGATCTGGTTTTACACACTTTCAATCCTAGTCCCCTTGGTATCTTTTTTCCAGTGTCTCCTGATGTGTTAACTGTATGATAATATTGCATTTAGTGTGTTTTTTGGATTTGATTTTGAGGAGTTATGGACATGTTCTCAGTAGCTTTTACTATTTAATTTGACATGCTGAATTGTTCTGCTTCAGGTGGCCCATAAAGTCTCATCAATGATTCTCTACAAGGCCGCATTCACAAGGACATTGTGGTATTATTTTAAAAAGGCCTTGCCATTTATTTCAATGAGAAGAATGTGCTGATGGATAACAGACAACACAGCCAAAGCAAAATAGGAAAATTGTGCTCAATTGTCCGCTGAAAACGTCCGACAGAATCTCTGATGTAACCGTGCATCAGTCAGTAGGAGACAGTCTGTGTAGGGCATCAGAGACTAATCACTGCTGTCAACTTACAGATGTACAATTAAACTCTAAAGACCTATAAGGACAGCCCCCAGCGAGCCTGGTATTCTTCGCTGGCTTCTGTGAAGAAGAACAGCAGCTATTAATTTTTGCTTGCAAGCTTTCATGTTTGAATAAGTTCCCCCTCACAAAATTCTGTGTAATGGGGGTCAGAACCTCACACCACAAATATGCCTAGAGCTACTTTCACCAAGACTTTTTGATGCATTGAAATATATTGCTAGTTTATTGTGGCCATGTTTGTGGGCATGTTTGACAAAGTACATTGGGAAACAGAACAAACCTTTTTCACACTGCTATGCGTTAATAGCCAGGTTTCCATCCAGGGAATTAAATTCAAGCAAATAATTGAAACAGTGCAAACAGAAGGTGTCCATACACTCTACAGAAGAGAATAAGGCTATCCAAAATAAAGCTGCCCAGCATGTTGGCCCATTCTTCATGAAATCACTCAATGCTGCTGTGCTCAAATGATGTAGAATGGAGAAACATGTTTTTTTTTGTTTTTTTTTGCTTGGAAAATGATGATTAGAAAACACTCTTGAGAAATATGGAAAATATGGGGAGGAATCTTTAATGCTGGGCAACTTCTCTTTGCTGTTTTGCTTAATTTTATGGTAATATAAAACCAAAACGTCCTGCATATATAATGGCTCAAGACCAGCAGCAGGCACTTTATGTCTATTTACTATCCAATTTCACCATTATGTTTTTCTTTGATAAGATAAAGGTACATTTTCTTCATCAGAGCATTTATACCTGCTGATTTCTGTCATGTTTTGTAGCTACAGCCAGGCTAAAACAGAATCAGCTGAAGAGTCATACGACATTATTTATTCGTATTTATGTTATTTATTTGGCGAATGCAATTTTATCATAATTGCATTTGTTTTTTTAGCTTCAAAAAAAGTATCCACCACAAGCAAGTTTACAAAACTTTTATTCTATATCAGATGTTGCCTATTTTATTTGATATTTGCAGTTTCCATCTAGTCATTTTTACTCAATATATCAGCACTTTAAAAACATTACAAAAGTACGTGGATGGAAACCCTGCTAGTGTCTGTTGTCCATCAATGCACTGTTCTCATTGAAATCAAGGGCGAAATATACATTTGTCTTTGTGAATGTGGCCTGTGTCACAGCCAAGGAATCAATGCTGTATTCAATTCATAACAAGTAACAAGGAATCAACC